TGTTGAATGGTTTGTATATCATTATAATTAGGGCAATTATGTCATTATAATTTGGACAATTTTCTCTTGTAATTATTCAATTATATTGGCTATTAATTTTCTTTCTATTTATAAATATGACTTTATAAATAGTACATAGTACCATTTATTGAGTCATATTAGTTACTTAATTCGGCCACATGATCTAATTAAATGAGTAATCCAACTAATTACTACTATTGATTAGCCAGATAAATGAGTTATTTGTCCACCCTACTACGTTATACTACAATATTAGTGCTAGTTTTATATATTTATAAAACTACTTTGGTTTTTATTTTACTTCAGTACTCATTGTTGGCTTAAATATTGATGCAACTATTTAAAGATTGAAGCGTTATTATTATTGATTATCTATTACAGTTGAACGATATGTTTCAAATATGCAATGATATATAGGCTCTTTAAGACAATGTATAAATGTATAATGCTTTGCAGTTATTAACTATTATTAATGTTATCGTGTGATCTAGTTATATCCTTTAACTCTATTTTAGAGTCTATTTAGGTACCATTTAGTAACCTTATTTTCTACTTATCACATTTATTAGTCAACTTTTGTACGAAACATGTAATTTTTCACTTTACGCGTTGTATTGTGTAATAATCAAAACCATTAAGGTTGGAGTTACTTTTCTAGATTAATTGGTTGAAGTTACTATAGAAGATCATTTTAGTTATCTTCATGTAATTTTTCTTAATTATATTAGTTATAAATTTTCTATATACAGAGTATAATTTTTCCATAATACAGTTGACTTAGCCACCTCATCTAAAACTCCATAAATTTCAGCAAATTCATCCGTTTTTAGTGTAACCAAACAGGCGCAGTAACATTAAATTAGGTGAATCTACTAAATTTGCTGAAATTGATGAAACTATGGCAGAACTGGGGTTATTATTCATCATCTATTACGGTTCTACGATACGTTTCAAACATAGAATGATATATAGGCTCTTTAAGATTGTGTATAACATTTAGAGTTATAGGCTCTTTAAGATCGTGTATAACATTTAGAGTTATGGACTATTACGTGGTGTACACCTTAATTGGTATTTCCTCCATCTTGTGTGCAATGGCATGCTCACAAAATCTCAATGATTAACATCAATATGAGATACACATTGGTACTTCAGACAAAAATATAATATATTTATAAGTAATGAAGTTAAAGTTATTAAAAGTTGAAGTATCTTATTCCAAAAGGTATCTGACACATACGTTGAACAAATTTTGCACATATTTTGCACAGATTTTACACAGATCTTGCACAAATATTGCACAGATTTTGCACATATTCGCAAATCCTTGCAATAACCATGACAAGATTCCTTCTGAACTAGTTTTCTGTCAACGTATTTTGCTCAATGATGTGCCAATCACTTTTATTCGAAGTATATGGATCACTAGAATTTAAAAATGTTAATTGTCCTCTCTGCCAACTAAATTTTAAATTGTACCTTAGGGGCCGATCCAGCAATGATGGAATGAATCAAAATAAGTGATTTCACTTAAGCAGTTCGATTTAGATGTAGGGTTTTCATCGTATATTCTAGAGAGAGGGAGGACCTTCGAGAGCTGAACAGAAGAGCCGGTACAGAGACCTTTTCGACGGAGGTGAAGAATCCTGATCTCAACCGGTGTCTCTGAAAAAGGTAGCACCCTCCTTATCCTCGAAATATGCTTATAGACATATATAAAGTCTAAAATAACATAACGTACGCCCTAATTTTCTAGTATAAAAACATCTAAATCATTTGTCGATTCCAACATCACTATAGTACTCATTGTTGGTTTTTTTCATGAAGTGAGGTCCCATGATTTCCAATACCAAACATGGACTAACATGTTTCCCAATAATTGGGTGTTTACAAAAAAAACAAGAAGCTTTTTTTTCTACAAAAGGGTGAAGTTAATATCCAACACTCGACATTTCCTACATAGTTTAGTACACAATGTTGGCACTACTCTGCGCCATTTTCATCTGCTTCATTGACTCTTATGATGTAAACCACATATATAGTAGGCTGAATCAAGTGAAAAACCAGAGCATCCCCATCAACCAATTCATGGTCTATCGGCTATCACAAACCCCCTCCATCCCCACTAAGACCAGTCTTCGAAAATAAGTACTTGGCATTGCTTTCATCCCCATTTTCATCTACCAAAGTTACATATCATCTCATCATGCTTAGGCAGATAAGTTTTGCAGAAATGAACTGGGAGTCCCAGCCAAAAGCCATCAGTTACATGGGACTGAAGCATGGGTTTGACAAAGCTTGGGAATTCCTAATCCAACCCTGACTCTAAATCTTCTGCTCTTTGAAGAGCATACACTCTATCATCATCAGATGCATAAACCCGGTTCAGCAAATCTCTTCTTTTATAACTTCTCCTTTCAATCCCCAATGGTTCAAGTCCAATTTCTTTATAGCAAGGAGCCGGCTTATCGGCAACGCGGCTCGACCTTCTCACAGCCGTCAGCTCAAGCAGCAGCCTAACCCGGGGCTTCGTCTTTTTCATCGAGGAGGGTTTAGGGGAGGTTCGGATCGGAGAGCTTGAGCTAGCTTGTTGAGGTTGAGTTCAGCCATCCTCTTCTTGTTTTCTTCGAGCTGCTTTTGGCGGAATTCCTCATACCCCACCACCTTCTTCGGCTCCACCATTTTGGGTTTTCTCTTTCTTTCTTTCTTTCTTTCTTTCGTTTCTGTGCTTCTAGAAGTGGTGGGAAGAAGAAAGAAAGGGGGAGAGTTACCTACTCATTGTTGGCTTAATTGATGCAACTACATAAAGATTGAAGCGGTATTATTATTGATTATATATCTATTACGGTCGAACGATATGTTTCAAACATGCAACCATATATAGGCTCTTTGAGATAGTGTATAATGCTTTACACTTATCAACTATTAATATTGTAATCATGTGATGTAGTTATGTCCTTTATCTCCATTTAATTAAGAGTCTGTTGAGGTCCCGTTTAGTACAAAAGTACGAAACTCGTAAATTTTTACTTCGCGCGTTGTATTATGTAATAATCGAAACCATTAAGGTTGGAGTTACTTTTCTAGACGAATTGGTTGAAGTTATTGTAGAAGATCACTTTAATAATTTTGATGTAATTTTTCTTAATTATATTAGTTATAAATATTCTATTTACCAAGTACAATTTTTCCATAATCCAGCTGACTCAGCCACTTCATCCAAACATTCATAAATAGGCGTAGTAACACTGAATCGGCTGAATCTGCTTAAATTGATGAAACTTGTGCGGAATTGGTGTTATTATAGATCATCTCTTACGGTTCTACGATACGTTTCAAGCATGGAATGAGATATAGGCTTTTTAAGATTGTGTATAACATTTAGCAGTTATGGGCTATTAATAATGTTGTCGTGTGACTCAATTTTCCTTTTACTCCATTTAAAACTTAAGGTGTAGACTACTACATGGTTTACACAATTACACTTTAATTGGATATTTCATCCATCTTGTGTGGCATAATCACAAAATCTCAATCATTAACATCAATATGAGATACACATTGGTACTTCGGACAAAAATACAATATACGTAGTATTTAGTAATGAAGTTAAAGTGATTCAAAGTTGAAGTATCTTATTCCAAAAGGTATCTGATACATATTTTGCACATATTTTACACAAATTTTACATAGATCTCGCACAAATATGGCACATATATATTTTGCAGTGATTCGCAAATCCTTTCAATAACCATGACAATATTCCTTCTTAACTACTTTCGTGACAACATAATTTGCTCAGTGTTGTGCCAATCACTATTGTTTGAAGTATATATATGGTTCACTAGAATTTAAAAATGTTAATTATCATCTGCCAAATAAATTTTAAATTGTACCTTATGGGCCCAGGGCCGTCTTCAGACATTTTGATGCCCTAGAAGAAAACTAATTAATTTTTGGTGACAACTCCGGTACTCATTTAAAAAATGGGGCACCGTACCTTCCATGCATTTGATTGGTCCAAATCAATATATCCGTTTTAATTTAGATTTAAATAATTTAACTACATCATTCTTATTGGTCCATGTGGACAAAGGTATGATACCTTAAGGGTACCATAGAATCTACCTTAATTTTTTCTAATAATGATATATCTACTTTCGAGTCGTATAGTTTTAATTTCCATACAACGATACGAAGTGCATACGTAGTTCCGTTTGGACGATTGACATTCTCATTGTCATTTTTTTTTTTTTAGATTTTCATCATATGTACTTGGATATTCATTAATGCCGCCTACACGCTCACTTGCATTATTTTCATTGTCATTACTTACATAAACATATTTTCATCATTAATTATCATTTACCTCAAAATCATGTTAAAAGACAAGATTTTATTTCTAAACATCTATGAATATAAAAAAATTATAATATTAATTTCCTTTATTTAACGTTTTTCTTTGAAGCTAGTCCCATAACACTGTATTGTTTCAGTTTTCGAATTATAATAAGAACTAAAAAAGACAACTTAAAACTAAAAAAAGTACATTAAATACTAATTTTTATTAAGAATACTTTTTTAAAAGAATACATATTGAAATATTTTTGTTCAATATATGCTTTAATTTTTTTAGCAAAGAATATACGAAGTATTATACTATAACCAAAGTACATAGTTTTCTAAAAAATGGTGCCCTACTTGCTATGGGTGCCCTAGGCATATGCCTAGCTTCCTAGGCCCTATAGCCGGTACTGTATGGGCCGAACCAGCAATGATGGAATGAAGTAAGTGATTTCACAATTGTAATGGTCGGATAAGGGCCGGATCGAATAACTTTGGAAACGAATCATTAGCGAATTGAAAAGAGTCTATGTCCATCAATCATGATACACACCTCAAATACTTAGAGATTTTTTAAACATAATGATAGATCCGAAAAGATTGTTATATCCTCAGTAAAATCAAGTAACATAGTAGATTTACAAAACTCTATAAACTCTTTCCAAAGTGTATATGGTAACTACTCAAATACGACACAGCCAGCGACAACACCACTTGTCATAGACCCGTTCTGAAAGCTGCTAGATGAGCATAGTGGGCTGGTAGCATGTTGTCTTTTTTGGACGACAACAAATGTGACAGTGGGCTGGTAATTTGGTTTATGTGATGCACATGCCTTGCGAATTGCATCAAGATCAAAGAGAAGTACTTGGTAAAATTGTCCTTCACTAACCCCATCCTTGTAGAATATAATTCTCTCTGGCTTATATCCAGTAGCTCGGCGGAAGGACATGAGCCACTCTTTTATCATGCCACCATTTAGATTCCCTTTAAGAGGGTCTTGCCACGTTTTGTAAAGGTCTTCAATGAGCTCTTGCCGGTGCGCTTCATGAGCAGTAACTAAACAACTCTTGCCCGAATGTTTGCTATGAAAATTAGCATTCAAGCTATAATTGATGGTCATAAAGTATGCAAACTTTAAACATGTTTATTTTTTCTAAACTTGGCATAAATTATTCTTATTTAGGAAATAACAATAACTATAAAAACTAAAATACAAAAAAAAACAGCAAAAATGAGATAGGAACTATATGGGGTAAATTATACTCCCGGAGTACACCAACTTCATAACGGCGCGCGAGCTTCCCTTTCACTAAAGGAATTTCTTCTCTCTCTCTCTCGATCGATTTTATTGACTAGGAATGGCGGAGACCTGGCCTGCGGCGGTGAGGGGCGGAGCAGCGGTGTGAGGCAGTATGTCAGGTCAAAGGTGCCTCGACTCCGGTGGACTCCCCATCTTCACTCCTGCTTCCTCCATGCCGTCAATGCCCTTGGTGGCCACCATAGTAAGCACCGCTTTCTCTTTCTCTATATCTCATTCTCTCTTTAAAGTCTTTTTGGGAATCAAAATTTTATCAGGTTGCCGGCGGCAGAGGCAACGCCGAAGCTGGTGCTCCAAATGATAACATTCCCGACCTCCTAATGTCTCATGTTAAAAGCCATCTTGAGGTTTGTAACACTCCTTCCGTTCTTTTTTAAATGCAACATTGGACTTTTTCTACTATTCACATGTTCTACTTTGACTCAATTTTATTTATTAATGTATTATATATTAAATTTGTAAAAATATTGTTAAATTCCTCACGTTTTGAATTTTGAAAATCTATTTTTTTTTAATTTTTTTTACAAATAAGGGATGAAGATATTAATGGTCAAACTTGTGCGTTGTCAAACGTGAAAAGTGGACCGTTGCATTTAAAAAAGAACGGAGGAAGTACTACCTCCGTCCCAAAATTAACTTCTCAGTTTGACTTCACACAGATTAAGAAAATAAATTTGACTTTACTGTGGAGTGCACTGTTTTGCACTGTTTAAACACTGTTTGGACACTGTTTGGCACTGTGCGACACTTTTTTGATGTAGATTATTTGCCAAATAAGGAAAGTTTTGAAGTGTGAAGTTAATTTGGGAACTGCCCGAAAAGGAAAGTGACAAGTTAATTTTGGAACAGAGGGAATATTTTTTTTTTATTTCCCATCTCATACGGAGTGCGAAGTATTTTGTATATATATGATCATTTCTTTCGGAAACAGATGTACAGGAGCTTGAGGCCTGGTTTGGTAGAGCAAGGTAGTTTCTTTTTCATGCTTATCTTTTCCATTTCTCATTCTCTCTCTAAAGTCTTTTTGGGAATCACCATTCAAAACATTCCCGACCTCACCATCTCTCATGTCAAAAGCCATCTTCAGGTTTTAATAAAATTATTTATTCTCTTTTGATGAAGTTAAATAAATCAAGTCTCTTTATTTATTCTTTTTTGATTTCCCATCCTTTTTATATCATGTCCTTTGGAAACTAATGTACAGGAGTTTGAGGCCTCGTTTGGCAGATCAAGGTAGTTTTCTTTTCATGCTTATTTTTTCTATTTCTTTTCAAGATCGTCATTCTAAAATTGGATTGATTTCTTTTTATCTTTCGGTTTTTGTTTTTTCTGGCGGAGTTATTGAAGATTCTCAAAATTGGAAAAACAAACAAGCCCTTGCTAGTACAGTCAACGGGATGATCCAAAAGCATTCACAATGGGTCTATGACAAGTGGTGCTGTTGCTCGCGGTGTCGTATTTGGGTTGTTACCATATACAAATTTTGGAAAGAGTTTATAGAGTTTTGTACATCTACTATGTTACTTGATTTGACCGAGGATATAGACTCTTTTTTTGCTAATTGTTCGTTTCTTAAGTTATTCGATCCGGCCCTTATCCGACCATTACAATAGTGAAATCACTTAGTTCATTCCATCATTGTTGGATCGGCCCCTAAGTTACAATTTAAATTTTATTTGGCAGAGAGGACAATTAACATTTTTAAATTCTACTGAACCATATACTTGAAATAAAGTGATTGGCACAACATTGAGCAAAATATGTTGTCACAAAACTAGTTCAGAAGGAATCGTGTCATGGTTATTGCTAGGATTTGCAAATCTGTGCAATATGTGTGCAAGATATGTGTAAAATTAGTGAAAAATATGTGCAAAATCTCTGCAAATTATGTGTCACATACTAACATACTTCAACTTTTAATCACTTTAACTTCATTACTAAATATATTATATTTTTGTCTGAAGTACCAATGTGTATCTCATATTGATGTTAATGATTGAGATTTATTGTGAGTATGCCACACAAGATGGATGAAATAATATTCAATTAAGGTGTAAACCACGTAATAATCCACACCTTAAGTCTTAAATGGAGTTAAAGGGAAAATTGAGTCGCACGATAACATTATTATAGCCCATAAGTCAAAATGTTATACACAATCTTAAAGAGCCTATATACAATTCCATGTTTGAAACGTATCGTAGAATCGTAATAGATGATCAATAATAACACCAGTTCCGTCATAATTTCATCAATTTCAGCAGAGCCTGCCGATTCAGCTAATTTAGTGCTACTACTCCTGTTTGGTAACACTGAAAACGGCTGAATCGACTAAAATTTATGGAGCTTTGGATGAAGTGGCTGAGTGAGCTGTATTATGAAAAAAATTATACTCTGTATGTAGAACATTTATAACTAATATAATTAAGAAAAATTACATCAAAATAACTAAAATGATCATCTATAGTAACTCCACCCAATTGATCAAGAATAAGTGGGCAGTTAAGGAAACGTGGATTGCGGCTATCAGTGCGGGCAGCAGAGAGAGTGGGCTGACATGGTGCCATGGTGCGGGATGTTGCACCAACATGCAACCTGGCAGATCCAGCAGACTGAGGAACACTGAACCGGTAATTCTTGCGGGCTTCCTCGAGGGACACTGTGAGAATATCACCCCTTGAGGGGTCTGAAGCCTTTCGTTAATATTTATAGTATAATTTACAATTATAAAGAAAGCAAGAATAAACAATTGTGGATGTTTCCATAAATACAGATTGTGTAGTAAATGACTATTTCTATATACACACAGGGAAATTATTTTACTTTCCTAACACACCCCCCCCCCCCCCCCCCGCAAGCTAAGCGTGGGATGACATGCAACGCGAAGCTTGGTGCGAATAAATTCAAAATGCGGCTTTGGAAGTCCTTTCGTGAAGATGTCAGCTAACTGGAGATGAGATGGCACAAATTGAACTTTAATCTTGCCGGAAGCAACTAACTCACGAATGAAGTGACAGTCAATGTCAATGTGTTTGGCACGTTTGTGAGCAATAGGATTCTGGGAGAGAAAAAGAACACTTTTGTTGTCATAAAGCAGCAACGGTGGATCAGTTAAGGAGACATACAAATCCCGAAGTAAGTAAGCCAAACAACCTCAGAAGCAGTATTAGCTAAAGCACGATACTCAGATTCACAACTGGAGCGGGCAACGGTGGGTTGTTTCTTGGCACTCCATGAGAGCAAATTACAGCCATAAAACACAGCATAGCCGTAAGTGGACCTGTGTGTCTCCAAACAACGTGCCCAATCAGCATCAGAATATCCTAAGACAGCGGAAGGTATAGTTGAACGAGTGAAATCCAGGCCATAAGAGATCGTTCCTCTAACATAACGCAATATGCGTTTGACTGCTTGGTAGTGATCGACGGTAGGTGAGTGCATATATTGACTGACAGAATTAACGGCAAAAGATAAGTCAGGACGAGTGATAGTCATATATTGTAAGGCACCAACAATAGAACGATATAATGTAGGGTCAGAAAGTAAAGCGCCTTGAGAACTATGAAGCTGGGATCCTGGAGTCCATGGAGTAGCAACAGGTTTTACATCCAACATCTGGGCACGCTCTAAAATGTCTCTAGCATATTTCGATTGCGCAAGAAAAAGACCAGTAGAAGTATGAGTGACTTCAAGCCCCAAAAAATAACTCAGGCGACCCAAATCTTTAATAGAGAATTCATGATGAGTTCGGGAGATAAACTGGCGAAGAAGAGCCTGATTATTGCCAGTGAGGATGATATCATCAACGTACAGGAGAAGATATAGACGAGTGGGACTATGAGAAAAAACAAACAGAGAAGTGTCGGCGTGACTATTACGAAAACCCAGGTGAAGAAGATAAGTGCTAAATCGCTAGAACCAAGCTTGTGGGGCCTGCTTGAGGCCTTATAATGCCTTACGTAGGCGGCAGACATGTGAAGGAAAACATGGATCAATATAACCAGGAGGTTGTTCCATATATACCGGTCGATCCAAAATGCCATTGAGAAAGGCATTTCTAACATCAAGTTGATGAAGAGGCCAATTATTGATTGTCGCAATTGTCAATACAACTCGAATTGTGGCAGCTTTAATGACCGGGCTAAATGTATGGCTGATGTCAAAACCTGGAAGTTGGGTGAACCCTTGAGCTACTAGACGGGCTTTAAGGCGTTCAACAGAACCGTCTACTAGGAATTTAGTGCGATAAACCCACTTGGAGCCAACGATGTTAGTGCCAGGGGGACGAGGTACAAGATCCCATGTATGATTGGAGCGAAGAGCAGCCATTTCTTCATCCATGGCAGCCACCCAGCCAGGGTATTTAGAAGCAGACTTATAGCCTTTGGGTTCAGTTTGAGCAACAAGACCAGCAACAAGACCAGTGAGTTCGTAGTCTGGAAAAGGACGAGACTTGATAATACCAGACTGGGAGCGAGTTTGAATAGTGCGAAGATTCGGAGGTGGAGGTGGAGTTGCAGTAGACTCTATTGTCGCCGCAGATGTAGCTGAATCCGAGGAATCAGAATGTGTAGAATTTGATGATGAACTGGCCAGCTGATCAGAAGTGAACACCAAACCTGATGGAGGGGAAGCTGATCCGGGTGCAATAGGGTGGGTAGAAGCTGATCCTGGAGTAGGAGATGGACATATAGGGCAGGGGGAAGCCGTGGGTGTAGATGGCAGAGATGAAGTGAATAATTCAGCTGGATGAGAAGCAGCAGGCACGCCGGGATCAAGAAATGCTGAAATATGAAGGGAATGCAAAGACGATGACTTGGTGTTAGCGAAAGGAAAATGTTCTTCATCAAATTTGGCATGGCGGGAAATATAGAGACGACCAGTAGTAGCATCAAGGAATTTAAAGCCCTTATGATGTGTGCTATAACCCAAGAAAATACATGCAACCGATCGGGGAGAGAATTTATTGGAGGTGAGAGCACGTAAGCACAGGTAGACACAACAACCAAAGGGATGAAAAACAGAGTAATCCGGAGGGGATCCAAAGAGAACCTCAAAAGGTGAAGCTCCATCTAATATAGAGGTAGGCAGCCGGTTAATAGTAAAAACTGCAGCAGAGAAAGCATCAACCCAACAATTTAACGGAACATATGAATGGAATAGCATAGCTAAACCCGTTTCTGTGATATGCCTATGCTTGCGTTCAGCCCGACCGTTTTGAGCAGGCGTAGCCGGGCATGACATTTGATGATGAATACCACAAGATGCCATGTAGGCTTTCATACGGTTATTAGTGAACTCAGTGCCTCCATCAGTTTGAAAAACTCTAAGTTTACAATTAAGCTGAGTTTCAACAAACTTGTGAAATTGAACAAAAGTATCATACAAATCAGACTTGTGACGTAATGGATAAAACCAAGTAAATCGCGAGCAATCATCAACAAAAATAGCATAGTACGAATAGCCCTGTTTAGATAAGATTGGAGCAGGCCCCCATAAGTCACAATGCACCAATTATAATAAAGAAGTAGAACGCTTGTTATTAATATCAAAAGGTAAGTGTTTGCTCTTTGCTAATTGACATGAATGACAAACTGAGGGCTTGGGCAGAATGGAAGTAACAGAAATACGACGTGATTTATTTAAACAATGGATAGTATCAAATGCGACATGGCCAAGGCGGGAATGCCATAATTCAAAAGAGCCTTTGAGCCTTCTGGAGTGCAGCTCTCCAAGAAAAACATCGTGACCGCGATCAAGAACATAAAGCCCATGCTCACGCCTGCCCCTTCCCACGATCTCCCCTGTTATCTTGTGCTGAATGGTAAATAAATTATCATCAAATATAACAGTAACTGGCATGTCTCTTGTGAGTTTACTAATAGAAAGAAGATTTTTGGAGATGTCAGGTACAACAAGAACATTTGATAACTTAAGATCGAAGTTGACAGTAGAATCACCAATGTGGGAAATAGATAATTGAGCACCATTACCAACTGAGACACAAGAATTACCAGAATAGGGAGAGACCGAATCAAGATGAGAGATAGTTGAGGTCATGTGGGAGGAGGCACCAGAATCCATATACCAGTCAGGGTGTGAGAATTATGGGAAAGCCGTACTCCAAAAGGAGCCCTGGCATGTATATTTATAATAAAAGATAGTTGCCAAAATACAAAATTATTCCTAATTAATATAAACTATTACACCCCCTCAAGCTGTGCGGGAGATACAACGCGCAGGTTGTCTTTTAAAAATTGAAATTGCTGACTAGATAAACTCTTAGTAAAAATATCCGCTAGTTGTAGATGTGTAGGGACATATCGAACAATCAAATCGCCATGAGCAACTCTTTCCCGAACAAAATGATAGTCAATCTGAATATGCTTACTCCGAGCATGCTGAACTGGATTAGCTGTCAAATATGAGGCAGATATATTATCACAAAATAGCTGGACAGGAAAACGAATCGGTAGGCCAAGCTCAAAGAGGATGGAACGGATGTGTAGTGTATCTTGTACTGTGTATGCAATGGCTCTATATTCTGCCTCTGTCGATGACTTAGATACGGTAGGCTGTTTCTTGGACTTCCAGGATATGAGGTTCGGTCCTAAGAAAATGGCAAATCCAGACGTAGAGCGAGAACTATCAGGACATCCTGCCCAATCCGCATCAGAATATGCCAAAAGACGTATGGGATGAGTAGAAGATTGAAGCCATAATCCATGATCAATAGTACCCTGTAAATATCGAAA